CTCTCTCTCTCTCTCTCTCTCTCTCTCTCTCTCTCTCTCTCTCTCTCTCTCTCTCTCTCTCTCTCTCTCTCTCTCTCTCTCTCCGCAATACAACTCTCTTGCTGTGCCTGCCTGCCTGTCTGCTCCAAGTCACCTGGTAGCAGAGGCACTGTCACCCAGTTGCTTGCCCTGCAAAGGCTCTCGCTTATACTTCCGAACTTCACCAGCCACCTCTCCCCGCCCGCCCCCCTCCCTCCCCCAGTGCCCCTCTCCCTCTTCAGTCAGTCTGTGCCAAAGAGATTCCAGTCATCAATGCGAAATGACTTCAAGACCGTCTCCAGCACCTCCGGTATTGGCATTAAACCCACTTGCGCTGCCGGGACTGGCTCCCCCGCTCCCACAACCCGGGCAGTGGTGCTGTACGGATTGATCTGCAGTGGCTCATTTGCTACAATCAGCAGATCGGTTGCGACTCGCCTCAGCCTCACGATCACCAGATGAACTCTCACCAAATTGCGAGCATCAAACCCTTGCGATTCTTTTGCGACCGTCATCTTGCCGATCGCCAATGCCTTGAAAATCCCTGGCTCGAGTCCAGGAATCTCCTCATCGGCGAGCTCCCGCTTGGACTCCAGCTCTAAAGAGCCTGCACACTGCACGCTCGCTAGATCGTCCAAGAACCACGCAGCCGCATTGGCGTCTTCGACATCGCTCTTCATTTCCAAGATCTCGACGATTATGCTTTCGTCGCGATTCATGTCGCCGTATACTTCTTGATGATCCGGCACCTCGCGAAGCTCGCTGACATCCGTGAATCGGTTTGGAATGGCCATTTCGATAGCTCCACCGAAAAGCGCTTTAATCGACACCGGGTCCCCCGGATAGCGGTTCAGCTCAGAGCCGGCCGATGTTGACACTGCTCCGGCCATCTCCCCAAAACTCCCCCGCCAACACCCAACCCCTTTCAAAAAAAAAACAGTCTAACAGCTTTATACACCACCAGCAATGAAAAGTTGTCTTCGCTTGCGGCCGTGATAATCCCTTCCTTAACACGTACACATACGTGCTAGAGTGGCAGCTGCTGGACCACCAACTTACACTCTCATACTGCAGCAGTAAACCTTATTAAACCGTAGCCTCGCCTAATCGGCGGAATGAAAAAAAAAAAGAAAAAAAAGCTTTTGATCTTTTGAATTTGTGAAGCACTCGGCAAGCGACGCAAGAAACTAACCGCCCAGTTGTTTGAATCCGGAGGGCAGCAAACCGAACAATGAGAGCTCAATGAGACTTCCCGGAGAGTTCCAGTTACTCCACTTTCAGCTCTTCCTGTCCTCCCCAGTAAAAGATGAAAAACTTCTGCTGCGGTAACTTTGGGAGCCAACAGTAGAACCTGTCACTGGACAGAAGTAAAACAGAATATCACTGGTTCAATGGTAATTTTGTAAACTACTAAACGCTGCAGAGTACCACGTTTTTTTTATTTTTTTCATAATAATAATAATAATTTATTATTATTATAATATTATTGTTAATTATTAATTATTATTAATTATTATTATTAATTATTTATTATAAAAATTGCAAGGACTTCAGCATTCCCAATCGCGGGGGCAGCATGTTGATCACAGATATAACAGTCAAAAAAAACTATAGAGAGGGAAAAGTTTGGACTCAGTTTTTTTAGTAGCTTCTGTTACGGCCGAGCCTCCGTAGCACAGTGTGTTCCAGAGTAACTGTAAACCTGGCTGCTTGATAATTACTGTCAAGCTGCTGTCCTTTCATTTTACTGGGGAAAAGAGCCGTCGTTAGTGCGGCCCGTCTGTTACGGCTGTGAATCTTTCCCAGGTAAAAATTGAAAGGCCTGCAGTAATTCCAACAGCGGCCCTTCGTTTTCCCTGGTAAAAATTCAACGCGCAGTACTGGCCCAGTAGTAATTCCAACTGCTTCACAATCTTTGCCAGGTAAAAATTGAAAGGCCAGTAGTAATACCAACCTGGCTGTTTCACAATCACTGCTGCCCTTTTTTTCGTTTTACCGGGGAAAGAAAGAGCCGTGTAGTTACTGCGGCCATTCTATTACGGCTGTGGAATCAGTTCAACGATAATATCTCAAGGCCATCGCCTTTCAGAGAGGAACTCCATATAACGGAGAAAGAATGGAAAGAATTACCCGAAAGTATACTGAAGGAATATAACAAGAAGGCACATGGTATAGTGAACATTCTTTCTCAATTAGAATTCAATTCATGAAGGAAAATAGAGAAATAGAGCTCTTGCAGATCACCTATTGGATAAATGGTTACATAAAGATATAAGAACCCCAACAGGGCAGTAAAATATTTGTCTATAACAGTCAGCAACAAACAATCACTCCAGCCCGCAGTAAAATCTGTTTATAATACTCAACTCTAATTAGTAATTACTAATTAGTAATTAGTAATAATTTATTACGCTAGCACTTTCTGTAGCGGACCCACCAGGCGTGGTGCTCCGCTAGTGACGGAGATGGAGATGGAGGAAGAAGGGGGAGCAAGATGGCACAACGCAGCTCCCCACGCAAGACTCCAACGCACGTACTCCAAAATGTGCAAGTGAGGAATGAGACTGAAAACAGACAATGGCTGGGGTATACCCCAGCGGACTGACGGGACTGGACTGGACTGGCTGGTACCGACAGAGGT